ATTTGGGAGCAGGGGGATGGGAGCTGGTGATGGGGCTAAGAGTAGAAATGAAAAAAAAAACAAAACTAAAAAACAGATCAAGGCTTTCTGGTGTACAAGATAACCAACCTCGGTTCCAGTAAGAAGATGACATGGAGTTTTGGGCACACATCCGCCTGGCCAGAGAAGGATGCTTGAGAATCTGAGATTTACACAACTGTATTAGATTGTCCATGATGACTGGGCTTGGAGACAAAAAGAGACATTTGGGGACTTAAAGCAATAGGTTGACTCCAAGATCCATTAGTTGGAAATCTTCTTTACTTGGGGAAACTTACCAGTAGGTCTCTCTCTTGGGGATTTCTTCAGTGCAATGCCAGAGACGGGCATGAGAGATCACACTCAGAACGCGCTCATCTTGGTTCTCTATGTGGTTCCTTGGATCATCAACAAGGCTAAGTACTTTCTCAGGAAGGCCTTCTATTAACTTGGTCTTGGTAAGCCAGAGGGCCTGCTTTACACCTTTGAGGTAATCAGCCACACGCACAGACACACACAAAGAAAGAAAGAAAGCAATTCAGGAAGAGATACTTACACCTACCAGGTACCATCTTAGTAAAAAGGCTGCCTCAAGAGAGAAACTGGATTTGTTCTGTGACACCTGAGGGGACAGAACCAAAAGTGAAGAGCAGAAGCTAAGAAAGCCAGATTTCAAGTCAAATTCAGGAATGACCATCTACTTCAGGATGGTTAACATGTGTTCAGGAACAACCATCTACTTCAGGATGGTTAACAGGTGACTGAGGTGGTGACTGCCTGCCACTAGAGGAATTCAAACAGTGGCTAAAGACAGCTGAGATCATATGGCTGAATGCTGCAAGCAGTGGATTGACCCTGGGCTATGGGACTAAATTGATAGATGCCAACCCTTCACTTAGGATCCTTTCTAATAACCCACACCCCAGCCCTGATTAAAAAAGCCTGTGTCTACCAAATGTACTTCATTTATTAGGGCGGGCCCAGGCATAGGCCCAGGAGAAAGCAACTTTTGGAAATAGCTGGGAATACCTTTGGAATTTTCATGAATACTTTAAGGAGCTGAACCTCTCTGGCCTTAGTATAGAAAGGTTGGGCTTTTCCTGGATATAGTACTGTTTCGTGTGTTTTTTTTATTTAAGATGAAGTCTCACTCTGTTGCCCAGACTGGAGTGCAGCAGCATAATCTCAGCTCACTACAAACTCCGCCTCCCGGGTTCAAGCAATTCTCATACCTCAGCCCCTCAAGTAGCTGGGATTACAAGCGTGCACCCACTGTGCCCAGCTAATTTTTGTATTTTTAGTAGAGACAGGGTTTCACCATGTTGTCGAGGCTGGTCTCAAACTCCTGACCTCAACTGATCCACCCACCTAGGCCTCCCAAAGTGCTCGGATTACAGGCCTGAGCCACTGTACCTGGCCTGTTGTCTTATAGGCATGGTGAATTGTCTCTATACCAGAGGTTAACAAGCATTTTCTCAAAAGGACAAATAGTAAATATTTTCAGCTTCTGGGCCACACAATCTCTCTCACAACTATTCAACTCTGCTACTAGAGCACAAAAGTAGCAATAGGCAATAATTAACAAGTGTGCATGGTTTTGTTCCAATAAAACTTTATTTATAAAAACAAGCAGATGATCTAGTTAGCTGACCCTAACTGCGTATCATTTGTTGATTGTTAGAAAGCTCAGAGCCAGGTTTGGGGCTTCCCTTTAGAAAGCAGAACCTGAGGTTGGGCGCAGTGGCTCATGCCTGTAATCCTAGCACTTTGGGAGGCTGAAGTGGGCAGATCACTTGAGGTCAGGAGTTTGAGGCCAGCCTGGCCAACATGGTGAAACCCCAGCTCTACTAAAAATACAAAAAAAATTAGCTGGGTGTGGTGGCGCTTGCCTGTAGTCCCAGCTACCTGAGAGGCTGAGGCAGGAGAATCATTTGAACCCGGGAGGCAGAGGCTACAGTGAGCCAAGATCACACCACTGCACTCCAGTTTGGGCAACAGAGCAAGACTCCCTCTCAATAAATAAATAAATAAATAAATAAATAAATAAATAAATAAAATACAGTAGAACCTCACAGGATAAATTTTTGTGGTATTCATCTTACTGTTTTATTTTTCCTTCGTACTGATCCCCCCACCTATCTGTTTTTTTAATTTAATCAAGTGTTATAAATAAACTGCCCAAAATACTTTGCATGAAAGATGGTATATACATAGCCAGGCCCAGTGGCTTATGCCTATAATCCCAGCAACTCAGGAGGTGGGAGGATGGCTTGACCTCAGGAGGTCAAGGCTGCAGTGAACTATGATCACACCACTGCACTCCAGCCTGGGTGACAGAGTGAGACCCTGTCTCTAAAATAAATAAATAAATTAGTAACAGAAAATCACTGAACAAAAAATAAATAAATAAAAGATGGCGTATATGTAAACTAAAATAGATTCAATTTAGCCTGATAGTCTTTAAAGAAACTTAGCTACCCTCAGTGGGATGGGCTGTGGTGCCAGGCAAAGACCTCCCTAGATTCACCTTCCCCAAATTTGGCTTCTCTAAGGGAGGAAGATGCATAGTCCTTGGTATCTTAAGTTCTGGATCAAGTAAACACACCAGTCCTCTATTCTCAAATGAAAAGCTAATACTATATTCTTCTCAATGATCACGCCCACAAATTGACAGAAGGCTGGTGGCTGCCTTGGTTGGCAGAATACTCATCTGAGCTGGAGGAATACTTCTCTGACTCAAGATCGTATCTTCATTTGAAAAACTGTGCCTGGGCCAGACACGGTGGCTCACACCTACAACCTCATCACTTTGAGTGGCTGAAGTAGGCAGATTGCTTTGAGACCAGCCTGGGCAATGGGGTGAAACCCCATCTCTACAAAAGAAATATAAAAAATCAGCCAGGCGTGGTGGTGTGTGCTTGTAGTCCCAGCTACCTGGGAGGCTTAGGTGGGAGGATAGATTAAACCCAGGAGGTAGAGGTTGCAGTGAGATTGCACCACTGCACTCCAGCCTGCAAGACAGAATGGGACTCTGTTGAAAGAAAAAAAAAGAAAGAGAGAGAAAGGAAGGGAGGAAAGAGACAATGTATGGGATGAAAGGGAGCTTAGGATACTTTGGGGGAGACACCCTTAGGCAATTTATTTATGGTAATAAATATTAAGACTTTATGTTTCATTTGCATATGAAAAACAGGTGATAACTAGAGCTGCCATTTACTGAAAGTCACCATCTACCCTGTGCCATGAGCTTTATGTGCAAGGTAGATGGGATTTTATAAAATGAAACTCAGAGACTAAGGAATTTGCTCTACCTTACACACCTTGTAAGTGACAAGGCCAGGAGGAGAACCTGAGTCTGTCTACGCTAAAGACCATCACCTCTCCCCTTTATCTCTACTGGCTTCTCTAGCCCTGTATCTTGCAGAATTTTATTACAGCCTACAGAATCTCTCTGTGAGTAGCAAAAACACAGGATATACAATACATTTTCAGCGTAGGCAAACGAATGTAATCTCCTAACATCTAAAATACTGCTAACGCATTCATCCACTTGAGGGTCACTCAAGGATGCCAAGTCTTGTGAGATTCTTTCCAGCACCTTGTAAGGACACTGGAAGTGTTTAAAGGCTGGAAAATCAGCTTTTAAGAATGGGATTGAGAAGCTTAAGAAGCTGGCCAATTGACTTAAGTTTTTTCAAACCTAGGATTTATTATCTGGCTTAGTCCCCAAATCCTGCCAAGTCTTTTTTTTTCCTAATTACTCCTTGGAAAATACTGTTCCCCCTTACCTCAAACATTTTGTTTTCAAGACCTGCCCCATGCCTATCCTGATTTGGATGGGGAAGGAAAATGGAAGAATGGCAAAAGGGATAAACAAGCCCCACCATGGACTCTGGAAAATAATTTCTGGTACTGTTTTGGATAGACAGGCTGATTTTGGCAAAGTAATTTTAATCTGTCCCTAGTGAGAGTGACAGAGGAGTAGACATGGGCTTGAGAGGTGACAGTCCTGGAGATTAAACATTCTGTCGTCTCTACTATAAAGTCTCTCCATCTACTTTAAAAATGTACAGTTAATTTCCAGAATGTCAGACCTGGTATGGTCAACGTGGACTGTCCAGTCAACACCATTCACTTCACAGGAAATAGAGGCCCAGGATGGTTAGTCATTTGCCCAAAGTCAAACAGAGAGAGCCAGAGCTGGGCCTAGAAACCAGGTCTCACGCTGACACGCAAACTCTCTATTATACTCCTGCACAGAAGCCCAGCTTCTTAAACTCAATTCTAACAACCATTAGGGCCATTGCGCAGACGAAGAATACAATGCCCACAGAGTTTCAATGTTTTGCCCAAAGACACAGAGGGTCGGGGTCAGCGCTGGGCAGAGGAACATGGTCCCCTGCCGCCCGTCCTGGGGCCTCACCCTCGAGAAGGCGGCAACGATGGTGAAAGATGTAGCAGGGCTGGTCCTTGTACAGCAGATGCTCGTGAAGAGGCGGCGAGCGGTAGGACTGTGGGTGATTCCAGCCGCGGTCCCAGGGCGGAAAGATCGGCCGCGCCAGCCAGGGCACGAAGTGCATCTTCCCCGCATAGGTGATGGGCTCCAGTCCAGGGATCTCGTACACCCTATCCAGGGGAGGAGGCTCCTTCTTCCGCGTGGAGCGCACGCCCCACTCATACGCCCTGCGTCTCGGGGCCCCGAAGCCCCCAAGGCCAAGCTGCCCCGAGCCAGCCAGGGCCAGCCTTGCGGGCCCGGACGCCAACGCCATACCGAACTCCTCAAGACCTCCACCTGGACGCCGCCATCTTCCCGTGCGCAAGGCCTGCTGGGAACGAAAGGGGCTGGGAGCCAAAGCTCGTTTTGGAAATGGCAGCCAATTCAACCAATCACAGTCAGGATATTCTTGTCTTGCGCCTGCCCCCAGCCCGCTCTCATTTTCTTATAGGTGAGACCTGCTAAGCCTGCCTCGCCTACCCGGAGACTGGGAGGAACCCGTAGAATCCTCCTGTGAGGGGAAACGCAGGCTAGTAGGTGAGTAGTCGTGGCGGGTTCAGAATCGCTCCTGGACTTCCCACCTGGCCTTAGAACAAGGTTGACCGCTTATGAGCAGTTGGTGCTTGGGAAGGCATTTCCGTCTCTGAGGCCCTGTCCACCGCTGTAAAAATAGGGATGGGAATGCCTAAGCTTGTGCATCTGTACAGCGCGCTGCTGCGAGCGCCTCTGTCGCTGCCCCCCTCCTGAGCGTGAGAGTGTCCCCCAAGCCAACTCCGAGCGCGTCTGCTCACTGCACACCTCTTCCCCTGCGCCAAAAGCGAGCCACTTTCCTCCCTTTTCCTTTCCCTCTGGATTTCCCATTTCGCCTCCTAAAAGCAGGGAGAAAGCGATGAAGCTGCGCCTTTGCTCCTTGCTCAACACCTGTCTATCAGCTGCCCGCTGTGTCAGGCGCTGCGCTGAGCCCCGGTTGGCATTGGTAAATAAGACAGATGGGAGATGCAGACAGAATGCAGGTAAACAGCGCAAACAAATAAGTCAACTGCGATACACACACTCCCTATCCCTTTTCCGTGTTTTTCTCTTTAGCATTTCGCACTATCGTGCCATCTGTTTTCCATTTTGATCTTGTCTAATAACTGTTTCTCACCCTAAGATGTGAGCTCCATAAGTAAAGGGTTTCTGTTTCTTCAGTGCTGTATTCCCAGCACTGAGAACAGTGCCTGGCACCTAGTAAATATGTTTAGTGAATGAGCATATAATAGAAATAAGTAGAGTGCCTTATAGAGAAAGAGGACGGGGAAGTTCAGGGAGGGCCTTTGAAGGGAGGTTCAACTTTAAAACCAAGGCCTGGGGTGGAAAAGTCATCCAGCCTGAGACAATATGTGTCAAGGCATGGATTAAAGGTGGTGCCTCTTGAACTAAAAGAGGCTCACTGGATGCATGAACCAGCTCTTTAAAATTTATGACTGACATGGCCAACTTTTCTGCTAATTTCCAAAATAGCAGAGAAAGTGGGACCGTTAAAACGTGGAGAAGGTGAAGTCATGGTTCACACCTGTAATCCCAGTACTTTGGGAGGCCTAAGTGGGAGGGGCCTCTTGAGCCCAGGAGTTTGAGACCAGCCTGGGCAACATGGTAAGACCTCCTCTCTACAAATAATAAAATTAGCCAGGCATGGTGGTGCACACCTATAGTCCCAGGTACTCAGGAGGCTGAGATGGGAGGATCACTTGGGCCTGTGAGATTGAGTCTGCCATGAGCTGTGATCCTGCCACTGCATTCCAACCTGGGTAATACAGCAAGACTCTGTCTCTCTCTCTCTCTCTCTCTCTCTCACACACACACACACACACATACACACACACATTAGCATAAACAGGGGACCAGACCTCATTCACTCATAATGCGTACCTGGTCAATAGCATACAATAAAAATGGATTGGGTTGATGTAATGCTGTGTAGCCTATGAGGCTCTGTGAGAGCAAGGACAATGATCTGTTTACCTTCGTTGCCTCCCAACACCTAGCACTGTTTTCCTGGCTCCCAGACTGTATTTGTAACCTGAGTAAGCAGTCACAGGGAACCTTCTATATGCCAGGCTGTGCATGGTGGTAGAATACAGAAATAATAAGACACCATCCTTTTTTGTTTGTTTGTTTGAGACAGAGTCTCACTCTGTTACCCAGGCTGGAGTTGCAGTGGCACGATCTCAGCTCACTACAGCCTCTGCCTCCTGGGTTCCAGTGATTCTCCTGCCTCAGCCTCCTGGGTAGCTGGGATTACAGGCATGTGCCACCACACCTGGCTAATTTTTGTATTTTTAGTAGAGGCTGGATTTCATCATGTTGGCCAGGCTGGTGTGGAACTGACATCAGGTGATCTGCCCACTTCAGCCTCCCAAAGTGCTAGGATTACAGGTGTGAGCTCTCATGCACAGCCTAAGACACCATCCTTGACCTCAAGGGGATTCCAGCCTGCTAAACCTTCCTAAAGTGATAGAGCTCTTGAGCAGTAGTAAGTTTTCTGAAGTTAAACTCTTCTGTTAAAGAAAGATTCATGGCTGGGCATGGTAGCTCATGCCTGTAATCCCAGCACTTTGGGAGGCTGAGGCAGGCGGATCATGAGGTCAAGAGATTGAGACCATCCTGGCCAACATGGTGAAACCCCGTCTTTACTAAAAAATTACAAAAATTAGCTGGGCATGGTGGCACGTGCCTGTAGTCCCAGCTACTCAGGAGGCTGAGGCAGGAGAATTGCTTGAACCTGGGAGGCAGAGGTTGCAGTGAGCCAAGATCACACCACTGCACTCCAGCCTGGCGCCTCGTGACAGAGCAAGACTCTGTCTCAAAAAAAAAAAAAAAAGAAAGATTCATCTAACACTGCCTTTCTAAAACCAGTGATAGTAAGTGGTAAGAGAATTTGGATAAGGTCTGATCAGGAAGAGCCTTGGGCACCAGGCAAGAGATTGGATTCTATCTAGTAGTCAAAAGGAGCCGTTAAAGATTGCTAAGCAGGGGACTGGTGGCAGATGTGCTGATGGCTGGTATAGGGAGAGAGTGGAATTACATCCTATGGGACCACAGGAAGCTCCAGTATAAATGGGGGTGGGAAGCAGGAAAAGGTCTTACAGGTATGGACTCCTGGGGAGTGATTGGGATCCCAGAAATGGGACTTCCCTGCTCTCTGGCAGACTTGGTGGTTTGCTTCTCTGCCCCCTCACAGACTTGGCCCACTCTTTGATCCTAGTACTTTATGCATGAGTGAAATTAGGGCCATTTGGAGGCCCCAGAGTGCCCATAAAACTTGATGACAGTTTGGTAATAGGGTCCCTGCTCTGTGCCAGCCCAGTGCAGGTGCTAGGAATTGGAGATGAAGACACCCCTTCCCTTCCCTTTGGAAGCCTAGTGAGAAAGAGCACCAGTCTGAAGGAGAAGGAGACTCAGGCGTGCATACTGGCCTGCATACTTCTGGCTTCCTGACCTGGGCCTCAGTTTTCTCCTCTATAAAATGAGGAGGAACATTGCCTACCTACGTATGGCTGTTGGGAGGATTGAGTGAGGCATGCAGAGCACTTGGCATAGACTGTGGCCCAGTAAATGGCATCTTTTATAATGGTTATCATCTGTTTAGTGAGTGACTCTCTCACCAGTCCAGGAGCTCCTCCAGGGCAGGATGAGGGTTTCTCACCTCTGTATCCTAGAGCACCTCATGCAGCAGCCCCTGCCTAGTGTTTGTGGGAGGAATGAATGGGAAGAAATAAAATGCTGGGAGCTCTCAGAGGTAGTTGGATTTTAGAGGTATGATGTTTACATCAAATAATGCTCTGTAGCATCAGACTTCTCCTCAGCTCTGCTTTCAGTACTGAGAGGGAGGAACACTCTCTCTTTTTTTTTTTTGAGATGGAGTTTTGCTCCTGTTGCCCAGGTTGGAGTGCAGTGGTGCAATCTCAGCTTACTGCAACCTCCACCTCCCAGGTTCAAGTGATTCTTCTGCCTCAGCGGAATCCTAGTAGCTAGGATTACAGGCGCCCACCACCAAGTCTGGCTAATATTTTGTATTTTTAGTAGAGACATGGTTTCATCGTGTTGGCCAGGCTGGTCTCAAACTCCTGACCTCAGGTGATCTGCCTGCCTCAGCCTCCCAAAGTGCAGGGATTACAGGCATGAGCCACTGCGCCTGACTGCGGGGGAACACTCTCTTTTACTTTGATTTGCCTGTGGAATTATATTTTATTATTTGTGAGACAGGGTCTTGCTATGTTGCCTACTCTGGACTTGAACTCCTAGCTTCAAACAGTCCTCCTGTCTTGGCCTCTGAAAGTGCTAGGATTACAGGTCTGAGCCACTGTGCCCAGCCTGCTTGTGAAATTTTAAATGAATAGTTAGCTTGCAGGTGAGATTTCGGTATAAACTGTGGAGTTCTACATGTAAGTGTGGAGAACCCTAATGTATCCCAAACTGCCCTCACAGAAACATCTCAAAATAATTCAGACTGGGCACAGTGGCTCATGCTATAATCCCAGCACTTTGAGAGGCCGAGGCAGGAGGATTGTTTTTGCCCGGAAGTTTGAGACCAGCCTGAGCAACACAGTGAGACCCCATCTCTACAAAAAATAAATTAGTTGGCTGTGGTGGCACATGCCTGTAGTCCCAGCTACTCTAGGCTGAGGTATGAGGATTGCTTGAGCCCAGCAGGTTGAGGCTGCCAGTGAGCCATGATCATGCCACTGCACTCCAGCCTGGGCAACAGAGTGAAACCCTGTCTCCAAAATAAATAAATACATGATTAATAACCATTTAACTTCTCCTCACCAATTTATCTTTCAGACTATGTTTAACCAATAGCTCTGAAACCGAGCTCCTTTCTTTCTTCCCTTCTTTCATATTACACACATTTAAAAATAACCATTGTGGCCAGGCACAGTGGCTCATGCTGTAATCCCAGCACTTTGGGAGGCCGAAGCAGGCAGATCACTTGAGGCCAGGAGTTTGAGACCAGCCTGACCAGTATGGTGAAACGCCATCTCCACAAAAAATACAAAAATTAGCTGGGCATAGTGCTGCACACCTGAAATCCCAGCTACTTGGGAGACTGAGGTATGAGAAACGTTTGAAGCCCCGAGGCGGAGGTTGTAGTAAGCCAAGATCACACCACTGCACTCCAGCCTGGACATCAGAGCGAGATGCTATCTTAAAAAAAAAAAAAACAAAAAAAAAACTAGCCACTGTGCCACTTCGTGAGTAAATGAAAAACAGAACTTTGCCCTCAAGTAGAACTGTTTCAAAGAAGAGAGACACATACACATGTAACAGTTAGAATGCTGTAAGGTAAAGAGAGAGACTCATTCATTTGAAAAATGTTTATTGGCCAGGCACGGTGGCTCACGCCTATAATCCTAGCACTTAGGGAGGCCAAGGTGGGCAGATCATCTGATGTCAAGAGTTGAAGACCAGCCTGGGCGACATGGTGAAACCCTGTCACTGCTCAAAATATGAAAACTAGCTAGGCATTGTTCTGGTTTCAAAACATGTCACTCTTCAATCACAAGAAACAGGAGAAAGTTGTGATGGTCCAGGTGAGATGGGATGAGGACTTAGACCTGCAGCTTCAGGCAGAATGAGAAGGCAAGGGTCAATGAGAGAAATAAGAAGAAATTAATAGGACACTGTTAAAAAAGAAAGAAAAGTGTTTATTGAGTACCTTTTATGACCAGGGATGGACCAAGTACATGGAGTGCTCACAGAAGGGAGTGAAGTCAGGCAGGCCTTCACCTGTACCTGTTTTTCTCTCTTTATTGTTTCTCCATCTCCAGACTCATATCTAGACCTGTTTAATCCAACTCACTACTGGATTTTGCACTTGGATGCCCCACAGGCACTCAGCAAGCATAGCATACCTCAAAGTAAACTCTCTTCTTTTTTTTTTTTTTGAGACGGAGTTTCACTCTTGTTAACCAGGCTGGAGTGAATGGCACGATCTCAGCTCACGGCAACCTCCGCCTCCTGGATTCAGGCAATTCTCCTGCCTCAGCCTCCCGAGTAGCTGGGATTACAGGCACGCGTCACCATGCCCAGCTAATTTTTTGTATTTTTAGTAGAGACAGGGTTTCTCCATGTTGGTCAGGCTGATCTCAAACTCCCAACCTCAGGGCCTCCCAAAGTGCTGCGATTACAGGCATGAGCCACTGTGCCTGGCCTCTTCTTTTTCTTAAAACTCAACTTCTTCTTGAGCCTTGTGTCTACCCACAATCCAAGCCAGATCCAAAGGGTTGGATGTCCCTTCAACCCCTCTATCCCCCACACTCCCTGACATCTAGTCAGTCTCACTGTCTTGTTAATTTCCTCTTGAGTATTTATCTCATTGACCCTTGCCTTCTCATTCTGCCTGAAGCTGCAGGTCTAAGTCCTCATCCCTTCTCACCTGGACCATCACTGCTTTCTCCTGTTTCCTGTGATTGAAGAACAGTATGTTTTGAAACCAGACATACCAGAGTTAAAACCCTGGTTGCCACCATTTTAGGAGCTGTATGAAACTGGGCGAAGCTGAACTGTAGTGGTGAGGATTGCAAACAAAGTGACAAAACTAGGGGAAAAATGAAATAATTATCATAAAAGTCGGATTATGGTAACCTGGGGGAAGTGGAGTTATCAGGAAGGGACACAGGTGGCTTCTGGAATGCTGGCAAGGCTCTTTTTACTTGACTGAGTAGTAGTAACACAGGTGTTCTTTTATATTTTTAATTAATTTTTATAATTTTTATAATTAATTGAGTTGTAAGTATATATTTTACTTTATAATTTGAGACCAGATTGGCAACATAATGAGACCTTTTCTATGAAAAGTAAGGAAAAAAAATTAGCCACATATGGTGGCGCACACCTGTAGTCCCAGCCACTCAGGATACTGAGGCAGGAGGATTGCTTGAGCCTAGGAGGTTGAGGCTGCAGTGAGCTATGATCATGCCACTACTCTCCAGCCTGGGCAACAGAGTGAGACCTCATCTCAGAAAAACAAAACAAAACAAAAGTATCTTTTACATTCAATGAGACTTTTCCATGAAAACTATCAACCGGCACTCAGAGCACAGGAAGAGATCAGGAAACCTTGGTTACCAGACCTGATTGTTGTGGCCTTTCTTCCATGTGCCAAGCTATGCTTCTGAAAGAATAAGATACCATCCTTGTGCTCAAGGGAGTGCCACCCTGCTAAACCTTCCTGAAGGCATAGAGCTCACAAGTAGTACAAGCAGGTTTCCTGAAGCCAAACCCTTTCCTCTAGTAAAGAAAGATTCATTTCACATGAGGGATTGCTCTTCTAAAACCAATGATAGTAAGTGATTAATGCTTCCCACAGACTGCGGACTCTTTGGCTGATCCATCTCTGTCCCCATGCTTGCACAGAGCCTGGCACCTGCAGGCCTTGGAGAATGTGAGGAATAGAGGAGACCAGAGAATAACCCCCGTGTTTTCCCCCTCCCAGGCTGGCCAAGGAATAGGGCCTGGGCTCGTGGTCTCATAGAGCCTGGTCTGTTCTGGAAGAGCACCCAGTTGTTCCTTCAGGTTGCCCAAGCCCAGATGGGTGAGAGGGAGGAGGACAACGACACTGAAGAAGCTTGGCTGCAGCTGCGGCCCATGGAACCCTTGCCCTCCCAGTGCTGCGGCAGTGGCTGCTCACCCTGTGTGTTTGACCTCTATCACCAAGACCTGGCAAGGTGGGAGGCTGCCCGAGCCAGCAAGGACAGGAGCCTGCTGCATGGGCCAGAGTCACAGGTGAGGGGGACTGATTCTCGACATGAGCACCAGGGTGGCAGAATCTACTTGCCTTGGCCCTGAAAAGTGCACCTCTGGGAAGCCTTCCCTGACTGTATAGCAGAAGAAAAGAATGAGCATAACAGAAGCAAACAGATCCAGGCTCAAAGCCCGGCCCTGGAACAAACTTATTAGCAGCTGTGTGGTTTGAGGCAAAGTTCCTTAGTCGACCTAAGCCTTAGTTGCCCCATCTGTAAAATGAGGCTAAACATTTGTGATACAAAGCACAGAGCTTAACATTCATTTCACTTAATAAATATTTATTGAGTACTTGTTATATACCAGGCCTTGTGAGACAGTGAGGATTTGAGAGCAAGCATGACAGACACAGTCCTTGTCCTTATGGACCAAACTAGTTATAATATATAGGTAAATAAAGGATGTTAGGGCTGATATTTCTTTTCTGGTCCTTACTGACTTGTTCCTCCTTTTCTTAACTCTTCCAGGACTTGATAGTCTGACTAAGCAGTTTAGCCCTTTATTGTAATGTTTGGGGGGGTTCACAGTTACAGATGTCAGAACACTGGACTTCACCCCCTATATTACACAGATTGGGAAACTGAGGACCCATTCCTTCTGATACTACCCAGGTTTTGTTTGAATCTGTCCCTGTCTTGGTCTTTCACCTCTGAACAGTCTTCCCGTTTTCCATGTCCTTCCTGACTAATGTGGAGCAGAAGGCATCTCCCATTTCCACCTCTCTCAATGCCGTATGGCATCATCATCACTTTTTTTTCTTTTTTGTAGAGTTGGAGTCTCACTATGTTGCCAGAGCTGGTCTCAAACTCTTGGTCTCAAGTGATCCTCCCACCTTGGCCTCCCAAAGTGCTGGGATGTACAGACATGAGCCACCATGCCTGACCATTGTCACTTTTTGACCAACCGTTCCCCATTGTTGGGGCCC